GATGAGGAGACGGATGTTCTGTTGACAACTGGCAGCTGCAAATTTGCATACATAGGCACCCGGTGGCAATGTCTCCAAATGCAGGAAAAATGGCGTCAAATTACAAGTTTGGTACGTAATCCCAAGGCAATTTTGTAACCAGCTGCTAATCAAACCTCGTTGCAATCACTGGAATGGCCTGATGGAATTCATCCTGAATCAGGTGTTCCTGTGGGTGGCCCATCTGCAGCCAGTTTTACTGGCTATATACCAGTTACGTGAAATCCAATCGTACCCAAGGTGTACGGATGCCATCAAAATGACGCTCATTAGGACAAGATGAATTGCTCACAGCCTAAGATGACCAGGCGTCATTTCGGACGGGGCATTCAAAGCGCAGAAAAGGACCCCCTACGGTTACTATGGATTACTGTAATTGTCCACTGGTCTTAGGGGTACAGTACACCGAAAGCACAGTTTAATTTCAGAGAAATTCAGATAGCAATGGGAGCAAAATAGTAGAGGGCAAGCTGTGGAGAAGCGGCTGATTTACTTTGCTCAGCCCTTTCATACTTTGCTCTGCGTCTCTGCCTAAAAACCACGTTTTCTCTGTACTCTCGCTAGTCCGAATCAGACTGCTACCAAGTGTAAAAGCAAAAATTAGTACATATCTGATACAATCGCTTAAAAATAAATATTTACAAATTTACCGTAAACTTCTGAGCTCATCAGGTAACTATGTAGTGATTTCTACTGATCAGTGCAGATAACTATGCAGACCTAATACAAAATTAAAATTGACAACAGATAACTTCGAGTTTTTCCTGTTTCATCCAAGCGGTAAAACGATCTCTTTGGTTGGTACCCATGATAAGTATTCGAGGTATCGCACTCTGAGTTCGGATCGGTCTGAAATCGTTCCTGGGTAATTCTGCCCTCGTGTAGATGATCTGTAGATGACCTTTCACACAATCGATGTGCACAAAGCGTAAACTGTAGTAATCTATGCGTGTAATTCATTTGTATTATATAATATTACCGTATGATCAGAGATAATCATACTCGTACATCGCGTATGCACATTTTAATCGCATGTTGTTGAACGGTGACGGATTTGTCGCCAGCTGATCGCTTTGGCGACTATGAATTGAGGATTTCCGTCACTTAAGCACCCGATTTCATCAGGGATTTCTGTTGGTCCTGTGGAGATTTTGCGTAAAGCCTGTGGATATACCAGTTAACAGATGTATTGACCACCAGTGTAGTTACATAAAACTGTCCTTCTGAGTGATCACAGTGCAGTAATAGACGTGAGATTAGAAGTAACCGGTTCTAGGGAAGTTTCAAAAAGGGTTTTTGTATACATTTATTGAATAAGTTATTCGGTATACAGTCATCAGTGAATTAGTAAATTACGATAAAACCCGATGGGCCGGCAAAAAGGTGATATTTATCATTTTATCCATTTTTTTCAGTTATTTCTTCTTTCATCCCTTTGCTGTTTTTAATTTGGGTTTGATTTTAATAGCTATTTAAAAGTGTTTTCCTACTATCTAGGAAATCGTAGACTACTCATACCTGTTAACTTCGATTCCTGTCTTATTAGCCGTAACCATTCCTTATGAAGGGTTCATTCACCTAATTGGTACCTCTAGATAGTACTGTATGGAGTAGGTTAGAATTGGCTGGGTAGATCCTAAAATGACTGGCCGACTCGACCATCGAACTCAAGTCATGAATTCACGAGTAACCCTCGTATCCACTGCACCACGTGGTTGGCATAGTAGAAGTCTCTTTTGGGCTTTATCATAGACTCTTTCTTCCCAGTAGAATTTGTCTGACGTCTCCATCTACAAATATTCTGAAATGTAATGCGATGCATGCTCATGAGAACTATGTGGGCTACTGAAGGCGGCTGCCTTTTTCGAAGTAGCCATCACTTTCCCTCAACGAAAAGGAAATGAGCTTTTAAGCGACCCGATCTGAAGCTCATTTCCTTTTCTCTGAAGGGAACCATTGGTTGATGCTTCAGGAAAGCGAAGTATTCCGAGAAATCGAGCTGGGAGTGTTTTTGCAGTTCCGATATAAAGCAGGGCTCATGGCTAACTCCCTAGAGATTCATATCGTTGGTCGAAGCTGCTGAATAATGTGCTAGACAGACGCCTTTCCCAATTCGATGTTTAGTTCAGGTGTGTTGATGGGAGGAGGTCTAGGGGGACGTTCCCAGCTCCGATTCGGGCACATTACTACAACACNAATCGATTTTTCAGCTCGATGAGACACGATATGAAAGTGTACTCGGTACGGATCCCAGTACACAGCTACCATATATGCAAGGAAGTGTTGAGATCACTCGACAAGAAGTTGAAATCGGTTCAAGTCATCTAGAAGATTTCGCCTGTCAATGTTATGCTTCGGGAGCTAGCGACTCCCATGTCGTTCGATCAGACCCGGCCCATGTACGGATCGCATGTGAGTTGATTTACCTTTCCAATACTTACCAGTTCGATTTCGAGTCATCCAGTGGGTTCGGAATTCTTGGGGGTTTTTCATATGAGAAAAATGGATAACTGTCAAGTCAGTCGGCTGGTTATAAGGTGTTTCAATGGAGAGAAAACAAAGTTGTAACATATAAAAGATAAAAAATTTATTTCGATTTTTTGAATTTGCATTTTTGTTCAATCTATTTACAAATACCTCCTGAAGGAAGCTGCGAGAGAGTTTAGCACCATTCTGGTCCCATATTTCTTGGAGGTGTGAAAACACCTCTATATGAACACTTCTATCAGCCCAGATTCTTACGGTAGTCATTGATTGATTGATTTTCTACCTCTATCAGTCCGAGTCCAAATCTAGTTCATAGGAGGTGCTTTCAATGTGAGACTTGAACTTACCAGTTTGATTGTCTACCTGTCAGTATAGGTAGACGAAACCGCTTACCGTAAACTACTAGTACTGCGCAGCTATAGGCTAGTTATTGGGGTCACGAAAGTGCACAAAAATTCGTCAAAATTCTGTAATTACGTACACTGCGCTTGAACCTTTTCTTTTTCCAGGAAGAGATGGATTTTATTTCGAAAAAAATTCCTTACAATTCCTTCTGACAGTTCAGTAACTGAAGGGACGTCACCCTTTCAGAGGGGTTCGGAAACTCTCGGCGGGTGTCAGCATCTTTGTAACCACGACCTTTTTGCATGAAGCGGTGCTCACTTCTCGTATTCAGCCGTACGACTTGTTCTTAGATCGTTTTTTTTCTTCGAGTAACTTTTACACAGCAACAGGTCCCAGCTACTTCTGCTGCTGCTGCTGGGCAGTGCTCAGGTGGGCACGTCGTAAACTCGCATATAACTTGCGTTTTTACGAGGTTTCTGGATGTTTTATGCGGGCGACAGTCAGCATTATGTCGTTAGAGAGGTATGTGCGTGGCGCCGCCTGTCATCCCCATTACTCTCCAAGAGACCATCACTTCTTATGAAGTAATAGTAAATAAAAAGATCTGCTAAAAGGCCTCAAGCCGTCTTCAGGGTTTTGCAATTATCGAATTTACGCGCGTAAAATCAATTCTGGTCGTTGCAGCCATTCACTTGTTGGGCTGAGGGTTAGAGACGGTTTTGTGGGGAACAAGCCAGCGCCCAGCAATTTCCTCTGGTCCAGCTCCCTCCGAGCTATGACTTCTAAAGGAAACTGCTCTTGTAGCGATATTTCATTCCATATGGCAAGCTGTCGCATTCCAAATAGCTGGAAGGATGAAAAAAGACAGATATGAATTCTTGTTTACTTCAAGTTGTTTATTGTTTACTTTAATTTCTTCAAAATTCTGAGTTCAGTGGTCATTCCTTGGACTTTCATTCAATTGCCTCCTTCAGCTTGAATAGCTTTTGACTTGCAAGTAGCAGCATCGGTTCAGGGAAGACTACTTGAGCAGCTGAGCCCTTGGGATTAAGAGACCGCGCTTCCGACGCGAGTGGGTCCATGATTTGCAGGGGATTAATTTTGGCAATCGACGACCTAGTAATGTTCGGTCTTCGGAGTTCTATGTAGCTCTCGTATACCTAGGGGAAGAGCTTAATGACAGGATGGCTATTGGGCCAGGTTCGATGACGATTTATGTATCGCCAGTGACCCTCATCGTCTTGGCTGATCACGAACGGTTGATTAATAGACGTCCGTTGAGGTGCATCGAGATTTACAACCACAACATTGCCATCAGGTCTGCAGTTCTTCGTTCAGTATGCTATCTAGCCCGACTTGGTCCCACCTCTGAGCTACGTAACGTATCCCTTCAGGCGGATCAATTTTGAGGGTCCAGGGACTGAAGAAGTGGGTGGAAATTAGCGTTGATGAACAGACAGTCAGGACCGGTTTCTGCAAATTCTGAAACGAACTTAAGCCGTTCAGCGGGGAGGTTCAATTTCAACCATTCACTGGGGGTGCTCTGATTTGATTTCCGAGTTCCGACCAAATATTTTGATTTGGAAGACAGAAGAGAAGCGAAAGAATCAGCCATAAACAAAAGAGTGAGCCAGGTTCTGAAGAGGGATTAGCAAGAATAATTACCCGGCTCAACCGCAGCTCTAGCCGTTTTTTACCTTGTCACAGCGGTCTTTGATCGGATGGCTGGCTTCGGGAGCATCAATCTTCGTAATTCTCCCTACAGTGAAGATCTATATGGGGAATAGCCTGCATGGGGCATTTGCAACTAAATCCCGGCTGGATTTGAGTTTTCCTGGAAATTTGGAGGCTAGAAACTCTCTGGGACAATTTCTGTCCATAGACGAACCCCTGTCCCAGAAGATTCGCGTATTTCACCATTTTTGATATGGGCATTGACATCTGAGGTGTTTCCTTGCCGGCTTCTTCGTAGTGCGTGGAATTTCGCACGATTGGCATTGAGACACAAGCACAAATGCACGCAGAAAAAGTGCCGTAGATAATTGCCGGAACAATGTTTCCGGACCAGAAACTCGCTGAAGAAATCGACGAACCGTGTCTGACCTGGGAATCCTCGAAGGGGGGATTCCCAGATACAACCAAGGATCATGTAATCGCTCTTAACCTGCCTATGCCCAATCGCAGTAAATCGTTCGGCAGGTTAATCCCCGCTTGCTGACTGATCATTAAGCAGCTGTTTGATTGTCGTCGAGCGGCTAGCGGCGCTATGAAATTTGGCCCTTAAAGATGCTACGCCAAAGATTGGGGCTAATTGCAGACTTAACCTCTTCGGCATGCGGCATTCACTTTGACCGACAGGTCCTCCTTTTGATGGACATCCCAGCTATGGGAAGTGTTTGTCGAGCATCGGTCAAACATCATGACGGAACTAACAGGATTTGAGTGAGGTCGAGGGAGATGGGATGGGTTGGTGATGGAAGATGAGCTGGAACTCGTCATTCGGCGTCGGTTAGACGGACTCCCTCTATTCAAGTCCAAAGAAAGGAAGATTAGTTGACGCCTGGTCAGTTCTCTAATGGTTTTATTACTGGCTAGTTGTTTGAGTAGCCAGACGAAGGGTACTTGGAGAATCCTGGGTTGCTTTGATTACCGCTACTCTCGTGTATAGGATATACTGGTAACCGTACCTGCAGCTCCTCATCTCTGATCACAAAAGCCGGTTAAAAGTATCTTCAGAAGACTATCTCATAACTGTTTGGTAGCATACCAGTTGTTACTTCTTGAGACCATCTAACCGTTACCCAGATTGTTTACCTCCGATAAGCGCAATACCATGAACGCAGTATCGCTACTGTGTGGTCAACCAGTCAAATCAACGGGGTCCCGAGGTTGTACAGGTATAGGGTCTCGATAAAAGTATTGGCTCAATCACGCAATAGGTGATAAGGCGTTATACGCGAACACCCTAAACAATGCTGTTATGCAAGGGTTACAGGTTGGGTAAATACAGTAATCATAAGACCTATATACAGTAATCAGCCAAGGTGAAATGATAAGATCTTCGAATCTGAAAAAGCAGGAGTTCTCTCGCATCGGATTTGAGACCTTGCTGGCAGGACTCTAATTAAAAACCGACCCTTAAGACCCTCATACAGCTTATTCCACTACTCCATATTCCACTCCGTAGACTTTCCGAGGAGGTCAAAGAGTACACTTCCTGCCTGTCAGTGGGTCGATGAGGAGAAGTTACCGTGAACTTGTACTTTGATGTAGGAATACCCCTGGAATCAACTTCACAAGTAACCCGCGAGTAGTTTCCCCAAAAGTTATCCCTCTGAAGGTCAATCACCTCGTCGGCAAGTCCACAGAGAGAGAGCGTAATCGACCTGTTGAATGTGAGCGAATCACATTATATCGCTGGGGCCGAATGGACTTCAAACACTGCACTCATCACTCAACGAGGCCATAAAGATCAAGAACTCAGATCGCTTCGGCATCGTCGTTCCTTCTGTCCAGACCAGCTCTCTATGAGGTCGTTCCAATTGCGCTGGATTATGGGCTGTCACGGGACGTTGGAAGGCTGTGAATTGGACGGAGTGGCTATTCAAAGCCTAAATCAGCTTCCCCATCGCATCGGATCCCCTTATGGTTCTTTGGGATTCCCATTCTGGAGCAGGTGTAAGTTCGTAGGGAATCTAGGGACCTCTCCAGGAAATGCTGTTACACGGATCATGTGACTGACCCTTCGGAAGATTCCAGAGAAGCTTCTCAAGAATCACTCAGCCCCTTCTCATAGGAAAGAATAGGCCCCCAATTTTCCCGTGAGAAAACACTACGATAGTCCGGTTCCTACTGTCGATATCGATCAATAATTAAACGGGTTGTCTGTATGTGTGTCGTAATGATGATTTGTGTTTGTTCAATTGATATAAATATCCGAAGTTTGCGATGATCCGACTGGCTGATCGGCGGCAATGGCCACCACGACGACGACTTGTGGCTTGTCTGTTATCATAGCGATGCGATCGCTCTCTACGACCAAGAAATTTGCATAACATGACCAAGGCCAGTCGAACGGCCACGGCCTATGGCCCAGTCACTCCGAATTTTCTCGACGTCCTCAGGGACAGTCGCATTTAGCCGGGGAATTGGAATAATTCTGCAAAATTAGCGAAGAATTTGAATAATTGTGCGTTGCCAAAAATTATTGAGCCCTACAACGACATTCTGAATCAGGTCCTTCCGGTTTCGGATTCCGAGATAATCGGGAAGCTCCTCCTTGGTACTTTGCTTGGTAGCCCAATACCGTACCCTTGAAATTCCTGTGTCCATAGGAACCCGAGGAATCAATTATTTGCCCATCGATCGTCCAGGTTTATGGGATGTCGATCATACCGGTGAATGAGCCAGATTAGTCCAAATGGTTGACATACGGCAAATGCCCTTCTATCACCCATGCGGGACTCCTCTCTGAAGGGTTCAAACAAGCTCTTCCAGTCAGAACCCGTGCTCCTGAACACGGTATCTTAAAGGGACCAGCATTTCTGAGTGGGCCATTGAACAGAGTCGTTCGTCAGTTGCTTTGATGTTGCCGGCGGTAATGACCTCATCAGGAGAGGGGAAAATGCGACAATGTAGCGGCAAGATATGTAGATGGGATCGAGGCTGTAAATCATATCTCGGAATTCAGAAGAAGGACATATTATGGACTGCCGTCCGGATCTTAGCCAGCAGCAGCAACAGGAGGTTATGCATTTTTGCTGAGGGATATGTCATGTAACGTCATGTATTGCCCATTAACGAGCCATCAAACTGGGCCAGATGTTCATCAGCATCACTACGGCATGTTACTGTTGTGGATGACTTGATTATGCGACATATAGCACAGCTGAGATCGGTCCCACGACGAAAAACAATGGAATTCCATTGATGGGACGTCTCTGAACCGATCGGCCTACCTCAGCTTGGGGAGACCGAGGTAAAAATTGGAAAGAAGCAAAGGTCCTAGCCAAGTTTTAAACCAGTAATCGGCTCATATCCCAAAAGGCCAAGATTTTCTTCTTGAGCTACTCCTAGCCAATATATACCGTATCGCCAGACTTTTAATCAGGGATACCGATTCCCTTAGAAATCTCAAAAATAGTCTGTGGACACTATGCTACAAAATAGGTTCTCAAGTTAATATTACTGTACATTTGCGATCAATTACTAGTAATTGCCTTTTGAAGCTTATTTCTGGATAACCCGGTCCATATCAGGTTCAAACTAGGGTTCTATAGCAGACCCTTGGGGAAACT